TTTCTTGATTTTTCTTTTTAAAATTTAATTCTCTTTGATTTCTGTGAGCCTGTGTGTGTGTGAATTTTTGCCGCCCCAAAAATCTGCCGCCCTAGACTTCAACCTACTCAGCCTGCTGGTAAATCCGCCACTGTCAGAAGGTGAGTATAGAATCTCAGTGACGGCACTGGATAGGACGATCGTGTTTGAACTCATTTGAAAGGGCTCATAAAGACCTAGGTGACTGTTATAATCTCACCTTCCCGGTGGTACAATCCGAAGTTGAGTATAGGATCTCAGTGACGGCACTAGATTGTTTTATATAGGAGAGGTGGCAAATGAGCATACGACTCACCTGATGGTAAGTGAAGTTTTGCAATAACCGGCCAAATTTCATATAGGCAAATGGGGAAGAAAAATTAATTTAAGAAAAATTTCAAAAATTCTGTCATTTTACCTTTTAAATTCAAAATGCGTTTTTTTTTACACATTCGTGATGGTTGTTGCCCATAAATCACTTAGAATTTGGTATAATTTGAAATAAAAGTAGAAGCCTTATTTATTCGTGTTTTCAAAAACCGCAATAACGGTATACAATTATTTATATATTTGAACTTGAGCTTAAAATTTGGCAATTTTTTTGAAAAATAACCCTGTATAGATAATATAGTTTATTTTCAAAATGAGTGGTTATAATTTATAATATATGGCCGCTAGGGGGCGCCAATGAGGTGCTAGCCAACGGCGCTGTCGACATTTAATCCGCCTCTATATAGGGTCAGAACAGGACAAGAGAGTATTAAAGTTTTCGCACCAAAATATGTCCTGTCAATGGATCTCCATAACCGGAAAGTTATTGCGTATAATGATTTGCTATAACGTATCTCTTTTTTAAGATTAAAGACAATCCGAGATTGTACCCTATACAAAGATCGATCCAAATCCACATCCCAATAACATAACTTAACAAGTCCAATCTTTTTTTTTTGTATAAAAATATAGCTAAAAATAGATTAAGATCGAATATTAGGTTTGGACGTAATAGAGTAAAGAAAACCAGATCGGTTACGTAAACATATGTATAAGTTGGAATTTCACTGTTTATTTCACTTTATGATACTATTGAACGTAACGAGCGCTGTTTCCTCTTGCGTTGTTTGATTCTACTAGGAATACTTCGTCGTAAAGGAATATGCAAATAAGAAGTATTACTGCATCCATAAAATCGTTACTATACTGCGTGTCGAAAAAAAAAACTAGTCACTGTTTTCTTGTCATCTATACATAAAAATAAAATTGAAGTGCGCCTGTCTGTTATATCGAAATAGTAATTGCCTTTTATTGGATAGAGCTGAGGGAGTAATTTGAATGATTTTTATTTAGACCTTTCGATAAGTGAAAACCGCTCTTCTATTGTTTCTCTTATTACTCCACCACATTAATCGTCTTTCTTTAATAAATAATTTTCTATTGCAGATGCACTAACTACTATTCGAGCCGTGGTAGCTCAGATGGTTAACGCTCGCTGTAAATATAACAGAACGCGAGTATCCAGGGTTCGATCCCCGCCGGTACCAATGAAATTGTTAATTGCAATTTTAAATGCTGATTTATCACGTGCTCGGCGGTGAAGGAAAACATCGTGAGGAAACCTGCATGTCTGAGGAATAAGAAAAAAAATATTTCGAAGGCGTGAAGTTCGCCAACACGCATTGGGGCAGCGCGGCGGACACTTCTTTGCCCTAAAACCCTCTCAGAAATGAGGGGAGGCCTGTGCCCAGCAGTGGGACGTATATAGGCTGTAACTTTACTTTTACTTTAACTACTATTGCAGAGTACGTGGAACTCTTTTCCCCTATATATTCAACGTCCTTAATCCTTTTTAAGGGTTCCGTAGTTACACAACAAGGAACCGTTATAATTTCGCCATGTCCGTCCGTTCGTCCGTCAGCGGTTGTACTGGATTTACGCAGAGACCCTGGTGCTACAAAGCTATAATTTGGCATAGTTATAGATATTAGTTACGTCTACAAAACTGGGAAATAAAATCATAAAAAAAAACACAATTTTTTGTTGCCCGTCTATTCCATCGTATAGTTCGATAGCTCTTTCAAAAACACTGGGGGTATGGAACAACATATTGTTACGAGCTTGAGGTTCGTGACGATAAAAACTGCCGATTGAATTACAAAAATTAACACTTTAATTCACTTTACTTAAAACACACTTATTATCACACTGATTCACTTTATTTCGCTCCGAAGCTTCGCTTGTCTCGCCAAATTCAATACTGCCCCGATCGTGGCATGCAGCGGGTTTAAATACACGTTTACACCGAAACATCCAGAATATTCCCGTAGATACGGGCGCTGACCGACCAGACGCAGAAAGTTCGAGTGTGGGGGGCTTCTAGAAAGCTTAGTTCTTCAATTCGATACTAGATGGCGCTTTTGGTTGAAAGATTAGTCATGGCATTTTCTGGAAAGCTCTCCTCGCTCTGTTATCCGACACTAGATGGCGCTAGTGCCAGGTACTAGACGTCAACTTAGGCGCGCGACAATATTTTAGATTTAGAGGTCCGTTTGCGATATATTTGGCTTTAAAGTAGTATTTTTCATTAGAGTCATGTGTCCCCCCCATCCAACTAAACCGCTGTCTCTGGAAATGTCAGAAGTATACATGATAGTAGTATATATAATGAAGTTAAAAGGAAAACTATCGCAGCTAAGTAGAGTTAACAAGTTAACCAGTAATAGTAGACTAACTTATAAAATTCACTTGAATTAGTAAAAATTTCGTTACAACTCCATAGAGTGCCTGAAACTAGCTGCATTATAACTTTGTAATGTTATTGTAACCTGTAAGAAATAAAATTTTTATGAAGAAAACGACTTATATACTTATTACTACTATAGCTCTTCTTTTTTATTTGCGAGATAGGCAGGGAGGATGATTCTTGCTTACTGACTACTTTCGCTTATTTTTTAGTTTGTAGTTATTGTAAGGCTCATCCAAAGTATTCATACAATCACACAGCCTTATACAGTTTCATTTTTCATACTCTTGGTTTGCGTGGGTGCCCCTCAGGATAATTTATGGAAGTGGTGGTTTACGGGAAGGTTCGTTCAATCATATATAGGTATGTTAGGGTTGCACTGCCGGAAATATATAGATAGATAGTCAACTATGACCATCTTTGTACGGACTTGGTAAATAAATGATTTGATGTAAAATTTCAAAACCAAAAAGTTTTTTTAATTTTCTTGAATACCACTCCCCATAAGAATCCGATTTGAAAATAAGTCGTTTAGTTAGAATCTTCCTATTTGGGCCCATATTTAGTCGTTATAGCGGTCAAACCGAGAACTCATTTGTTAAGCTCATTATCAAGAAAGCCCGCGTATTGTGTCTGGCAACTACGGAACCCTAGCTCTACATTTTGCGTGGCCCGACACACTTGGGCCAGTTTTTTCTTTTGTTAATCTATTTAAAGCTTATATTACTTTCCGTCCTTTCTTGTATCTATCCTACTTTCCTCAACTGTCATCATCTTATGACTTAATTTATATTATGATTTAATGAGGTTGTCTGGAAATAATCGAATCAAGTCTTAATGATTAAGAACTGCATTAAAATTTCTTACAATTTTGTAATAGCTTTCATCCCCTATTTTTCTCCTTAGAGATGGAATATCCAAAAATCCTTAAACACGTGTTACTTAGTTTCTAATCGAAAGCTAATTAAAACAATTATTAATTTACACTTGAGGATAGAATCGTCCAAAAAAAACTGAAACACGTGGCTCCATACTCCGTACTCCATACTCTGTCCCCACCCCGTAAGGGGTCGGTTTGAGAAATCGCAGAATATGTATTCATACATAACACCGTTTAGGGAGTGAATTTTCTAAAATTGTCTTCTAGTGGGATACCTATGTGGGGTGGGGTATCTATATAAAAGCAGCTACTTTGCAAATTTCAGATTTGCGCCCTCCTTTCTGCCAAGGAGGGTCGCGTTCGTATACGGCTTAGAGATCTCTCGACAGATGGATTGGCTTACCGCCAATCCATAAAGGCGGTGTTTAGTGGGTAAAAGTCTCCACATAACGCAGCCGGCTGTGTGGTATGCTATGAGCATTCACCGCCTTCCTCCCCCGCTTTGCCCATATTTGCTTCGGGCGCAAAAAAATTAAGATATCTACGTCTAGCAGTTTGAGCTGTACGTTGATAGATGAGTCAGTCAATTAGGGCATCCTCTTTTATAGTATATATTTATTTAATTAAAATTTTAAAATGCTAAATTAGCTTTTTTTAAGAAATATGTATATTTCAGTTGTATGTATGTTCAATTTTAAAGTTGTTTGTTGTACAAAATTGAATAATATTTTTTTCCAACATGTTAATTTAACAGTGGAATACACTGTATTGATATTATTAATGTATTCGGCGGTACAGTCTCTGCTGCCGATACTTGTCGCCATTCGGCACCTTTAATGGTTACAGAAATAATCGTGCTTTACACACGTGTCGTAAACCTAAGTAAACTGGAGACAGCCAGGACAAGGTGTATTTGTCTTGGTCGCTGCTAGGGTTACAGGTAAAGCAATTTGCATAATGCCTCCCACGATGATTTTTTAGCGTTACTAAGATATTTTTATGGTCAACAAACCGGAGCCGTTGGAGCTATTTCATGCAATGTACTTACTTAACTTTTAATCTGTTGCGCACTAGACTGCTTAGTCCGAATTGTGGAAATTAAACTGACGTTCCTTTTCAACAGATGGCATTTACCGTTGTAAGTTCATTAACCCACTTATTACTACCGTCCTTTATAACGCCACTAATTGAATGATAAATGTACCCGCCAAATTTATATGTTCAATGTTGTATAAACAAAGATCGTCTTACATTACCGTCATCAGAAACGGTCCGTCTTTAATGTGCACCTACTATTTGTCACAGTGCGTCCATTATTTTGAAGTTAAGACGTGTTTTAAATTAACAGTGTAATTGCTTTGCGACATGGCTTCAAAAAGGTAAGATTAAAAAAATACTTATAAAGTTTTAAACACTTCAACGTAGAATCCCGTAAAGAACTGTTATTTTAATATAAATGTAACATAAAATAAACTTGAATTTCACGGTTTTTCATGAAAATTATCTTATGTAAAAACTTACGGCGTTATAACGCCCTTTAGTAAAATTGACGTCTATTTATTATTACTATTATGTTTTAGATCACTGACGAAACGACCTTTGAATCTCAATGACATAGTTGATGCATTACACAATATAAATTCTGATGACGATCTGCCCAGTGAAGTTACCATTTTTCCACCGGAAGATCCAAATAACGAAATAACAGACGAAGATTCTTGTGATGAAGAATTTGTGACATTACATAATCTCTCAGGTGTGGTTATTACTTTTGAGCATATTACGAAATTCATTTCAGTCACTGAACTCACAATCAATTGTATATTTTATTTATTACTTTTTGGGTTCCCAGCTAAGAGCTCCAGCAGAGATTACTTATGATGATACATTTTCAGAAAGATTTATCTTTGTCTGTGTTAGCAAAAAGAATACGCAATGCCAATGAATGCTTGCCAGAAGATTTGGATCAACAGATATCTTCTACTTCTTGCTCCACTCCATCTTTAAGTTGTTCATCGAGGAACGTCACTCTTAGTGTAAGCAAAACCCAACAGTATACGTGGCGAAACAGGCACAATCCAAGTGAATTTACACAGTGGCAGGATCGTGAGGGCAAAAAATCTACAGTCACCTTTGTACTACTATGAGTGTATGGTGAATGATGAAGTAATCGAAATTTTGGTACATTACTCTAATCTTTACGAAAGAAAGGTTGGGGTATGTTTTTTGGTTTGACCCATACCGGGGACATTCTTCAAATATCCCAGCATGCTATAAACAATTTGATTAGGGGCAAGTGTAATTTTGAGCATTGCTGATGTTTTCCAATCGTGCTACCCAAAAACTCAATTTCATTTATTTTTGATAACTTTTTTTCTTCTATCCCTCTTTTTCACGAATTGAGTAATAGATGATTGAAATCTACAGGAACTATTCGTGAGAATCGTACCTCTAGATGCCCACTACCTGAAAACAAGGTTTTCGAAAAAACAGAAAGGGGCATATTCGTCTATAAGTCTAGTCAACCCATGCAGATCTTAGTCTGCAAATGGAATGACAATAGTGTCGTAAGTGTCGCCTCTAATGCGGAAACAATTGAGCCGCTTCACAAAGCCAAGCGATTTTCTCAACAATTGAAAAGATATGTGTTTATTGATCAACCTGCTATCATAAAATAATACAACGAAAATGTGGGTGGAGTCGATAGAACTGACCAAAATATTGGCTTATACAGAACTTCGATCCGGGGAAAAAATTGTTTTTTCGTTATTTTGTCATAGCTTGGATATGGCTACCCACAATGCCTGGCAGTTGTACAAAAGTGATGGTGGCGAATACGACCACTTAACTTTTCGTAGAGTAGTTACCAGACGATTATACGTATAAAAGAACCGAAAAACGGAGATCTTGCCGTATTCCTAGCAACTATAGATAAACCTCGCGATACGATCACATTGATCATCTAATTGAATATGAAGAATCTCAAAGCTGCTGCACTATTTGTAAAAAAAAAAAAACAATTTCATTTGTCGTAAATGTCAGCGGTATTTACACCCAAAATATGTTTCATTTCCTATCATACCAAAGTTTAGATTCTTGACAAATAAACCATTGTAAGCATATGTTTTGTGTTTTATTTATTTCCAAAAATGTTTTACTTTTACTAGCCGATCTTACTGCCGGGCGTTATAACACCACTCGTTTTCCGGCCTTTCCGGACCACGAATATATTTTTAAATATTTTTTCATGAATAATATATCGTTTTGGTACAACATATTAAAAAATCAGTTAATTCTGAAACAAAAAAAGTTTCAGTAATATCTGGGTTGAGAACTTTAGTACGAAAAATCTGTTAGAACGTATTTAACTACAACTGCCAAGTGGAAGACAGCATTTTGTGATGTACAAGTATGATGTATCAGTTACATGATGATAATTTATGATATATTATATCTAAAACGGTTTTAAAGTTCTATTGAAGTTCACGCATGTTAATGAACTTAAGGGTTACATTTTTGAAGCAAGCAAAGCTTAACTTAAAAATTAATTCGCCAAATATATCAACAGAAACTTATGCAATGTGTAAAATCGTAAGATGGGCCACATAATCCATTACCACCTCCTAAGAACAGACGTCCGAAAAACATTAGCGACTATCTACTATTAAGCGTTTTCTCCGCTAATAGGTCATTTTGACTCTCTCCGAGCTACGATAATAAATAGGGCAAGAGAACATTTTAGAATTGGCCCTGAATTTTCTTAATATGATTTATTTCAACACTAAAGATAGGAACCGGATTTCGCTACATAATTTGTAGATTTTCGGAAATGCTGGCCATATACAAGCTATAATTATGTTTGTAGTTGCTTGCTATATGCAACCAGAAGGTATGAAACTTTGTAGTTTTTGAGTTAAATAAGCTTAAATAGTATAAGTATATTCGATTTGGCTATTTGGATTAGGTGGTTTAGTTGGTTCCCGTGTGGAGTTGCCAGTGCTCCCATCGGGCGCGTCCCCAGGTGGCGGATAGAGGAACGCCACCCAGATATGGGTGGTAGCGGGAAACCGACGTGAATCAAAACTGGCTGGGGTTGTTCGTACCTGTGGTTCCATTAGGACCAGAAACGACCGGGGCTTAATGCCCTAAGAGATGGGCCTTCATAGGTTTGTCGTTGCTCTCGGCATCGCTCTTTGATTAGAGTGCACAGGGGAAGCGACGCACGCGGCAATGTGCCAAGCGTACCAATGGTGGGTGACCCAGCGCAGTTATGTGCCAAGTGCATCGATTCCGGGCGATCTCTGTGCGGCGATATGCCAAGTGCACCTATGCAGCGGGCCTCTAGGGTTGCAGGCGTTTTGGCGAGGACCCCGAATGTCTAGTAATGTAACCCCTGAGGAGAACGATGGCTCGGAAGTGGTCCCGAAACATCGCGATAGCACTGCGCGGGTGCTGGGGGTAGTAAGAACTGCCCCCGGGACGTGCTTCCAACAAAGCAAAGCGAGAGAGGGGCCCCGGTTGCGTTCCGAACGGAGATCCCGGAACCCCCTTAAACGCTGATGGAGACCACCGTGCGGTTTTAGCCGGTAGGAGTCTGGCATAACCTGTCTGATGCCTACGCGACAGACGGGTATCCATGAGGATTTCGCCACATAAAAAAGGTCGTTTAGTTGGTTAGGTTTCTTTGTGGGTTTTTACGTCACTATCAACAATTTTAAGTATTTAATAAAGTCCAGCAATGAACATAGGCCTTCCCATAGATTGCTACAATGTACTCCTTGGCCACCTGCATGTATCGGCTATTTACGTGCTTTATCAGGTCGCACTATATCTAGAGAGCGAGGGCGGGGAGAGGGGAGGGGGGGGGGGGACAGCATGAGGCTACAACTTGGAAACCCTTCTTTCCTTTGGTTCTTTTTTTGGTTCTCTAAGCTATATATAGTTATTTGAGGTTACTAATCCGCTAGGCTATGCCAGTTACTCATTTTTCATCCGCTGGAATATATCCGAAATGCTTCGAATCAGTCTTCAACTTTCCTTTCTTGAAGTCGTAATAGTTCCTTATTTCTCACTAAGCCAATAGAATTACTTTTTTTAGTTGTCAAAACAGGCTCTTCCATTAAAATTATAATATGAGAATATAATATAATCAAGTCATAGTTGATATAGTTAGATAAGCATTTTTGTAAATTTTTAATGCTAATTTCTTTTTTTAGTACTAAAATAGGTATTCGAGCAAGTTTTAAGACTACTTACAATAGTTAATTCAAGTGATATTATGATGTTGTGATGTAGTTGTTTATGGCGATTTGAACTATCCAATTGATTTGATACATTTAAAAACTTAAAATAATAATAATAGTTTTTATTCATAAACACGGTCTTACAAGTACATACCTACAATGGTAGACTTCTTTTGAACGCGAAATTCGCCCGTATCAGAAATAAACCCCTCTTTCTTATCCTAAAATTTACTAAAGCAAAAACCGCTTATACCAAAACTAATGCTGAGCGTAAACAAAATAATTAAAAAAAATTAAATTGATAAGTAAATATAGTGTGTGTGTGTGTGTGGTGTGGTAGTGTATAATGTGCGTGTAATGTGTGTTGAGTGAAAGTTTTCATACGTTTCCCCTCTGCGCACCCCTACGACATAAGAGTACGGTGGGATCGGCTGAGCAGAGGGGATGGTTACATGTAGAGGTACATGGGGGTTACTATGTGTGTATGTTTGTAATGAGCGAGTGTTTTATAAGAGTACGGTGGGATCGGCTGAGCAGAGGGGGATGGTTACATGTAGAGGTACATGGGGGTTACGATGTGTGTATGTTTGTAATGAGCGAGTGTTTTACACATATATATCCTCATATCGAGATACTAATTTTCACAGGTTTTTACTTCAATAAATTCTAATTTCTTAAGCCATTTAGTAAGTTTTTATTTACAGTTTCGGTAATTCGTAGGATTATATCTAGTATTTTATTAATTCTATTATATAAATTAGACGAGATGTTTTTGTACTGGTTGCGAGCAAATTTAGTCTTGGTGTAATTTAGTGTGGTGACTCCATCTTTTCTTCTTTTGGTTATATAATCACTACGTGCAATAAATACAATTAATTTGTTGAAAGTTGACGTGTTTTCAAATCATTGAAGAATAATGTACTATGTACTATATCGGACGACGCGAACAAAATACATGATTTTTAACAATTCCCTTTGAGCTCGTTCTATTTGTATAAAATGCGTTCTTACAGTAACACCCCATATTGTTCTACAATAAATCAAAATAAAATAGATTTTAGCAACGCAATATAGATCTTATCAAGTAAGTTTTTATTTGCAACGTCTCTTAGTGTTTTAAAAATCATGTAGTCAAGTTTGCCATTTCAATATATTTTCCTTTATGGGTGTACTGGAAGATATTTCAGCAAATTATGGAATAAATAGAACCCTTGTACCAACTTACTATAAGATTCTTTCTGTATTTTGATGTGTGTACATAAATTAATTTATATAAAATCCACATTAATTTACGTAATCTGCCATCAACCAATTCGATATTTAAAAGTACACACATTAAAAAATAATCGTTACATAAATGACGGCTAGTAAAATAATTACGTTTTCTTTTGTGAAGCTATAGGTACAATAGTTAAACGTTTAAAATTTAAATGGTGATCATGTAAAGTAAACTGCGTTTGAAATTTAGATTCAAATAGAAACGTAAAGAGCAGTCCGAAAGACGACAGTCGTA